ACACAAGACAAGACGAGCAGGAACAGATCCTGAGCCAGAATCAAGTCAGATTGAGTTATAAATAAAGCGTTTTTCACAATATACACCGTTTTTTACAGAAAGTCATAATATTAAATGTTTACAATATCTTAATATCTTCATGCCTTATAGTCACATTTAGCAGATTAGATATAGACAGATATATATATATATATATATATATATATATATATATATGTGTGTTTTGTGTGTGTTAAATAAATGCTGTTCTTTTTTACTTTTTATTCATCTAAGAATCCTGAAAAAAAAAAAAGTATCACAGGTTCCAAAAAAAATATTAAGCAGCACAACTGTTTCCAGCATTGATAATAAATCAGCATATTAGAATGATTTCTGAAGGATCATGTGACACTGAAGACTGGAGTAATGATGCTGAAAATTCAGCTTTGATCATACGAATAAATTACATTTTAAAGTATATTCAAATAGAAAACCAGCATTTTAAATGGCAATAATATTTCTGTATATTTGATCAAATAAATGCAGCCTTGATGAGCAGAAGAAACTTCTTTAAAAACATAAAAAAATTATTCTGATCCCAAACTTTTGAACGGCACTGTATATCCAAATTTCCATAAAAAGCTCGGCATTAATAATTACATTCTGCAACGAAAAAAAAACAAGCAGCTGACATTTAGAATATATTGCTTTACATGAGAGTACTGTATGTATGCAAATAGAGCTATAAAGATATACATCCAAATTTATACATAGATTTGCGAAAATAGAGTTTACATTTTTGCAACAATACAAACAATTGCACAGTTGAGATATGCTATATAGTATATATTGCTCTACATGAGAGTACTGTATGGGTAAAGTAGATGTACTATATATCCAACTTGTAATCTATCAATACTGTAAGCAAATAATACAACAGACAATGCAATGCTTTCCATGAAAATTCCTGCTTGCTTAGAAACAGAATGACTGAAGAAAAGTCAGAAAAGATGTGTGGAGTCACAAAAGCACCTCAGTACAGCTTCAGGAAGATGGACTTGGTTTTATTTGGAAAAAGGCAGATGTAAAAACAAATACCTCTCTGCTCTTTGGCGAGCTGTTCGGCCTGCTCCCACACCTCGATGGCGTAGAGGAAGTTGGAGGTGACCTGGACGTAGCTGGCTGCCATCTGGTGGATGCGCTGGGGGATGGTGACGGAGGAGCTGGTGCTCTGGCTGGAGCTGCTGGAGGAGTAGCTGCCCGCACTGCCAGGAGACAGTTTAGGAGAGACCGGAGACGGCATTCCCGCCGTTTTACTGCAGGACGCAGAGGACAGAGACGAGAGCGAGTCAGGACGCAATGAAGAGCTATTCCTCCTGTCCTCACTGGAAGTGTTTAAGAGACTAACTACCAAGATAAACTATGAAAACTAAGTTTATTCATATGTACAGGGTTTCTGCAGGTTTTATGAAGGTATAGTTAAGACTTATAATGTAAAGAATAAATTGAAAATTGAATTTACTGTATCATCTTTCCACACTGAAAAAAGGTGATGCTCTTCATCAGTATATCTGTCTTGTTTTCAGTGCAAAATCTTAATTCTTAAAATCAAGATACATTTACTTGAGAAGCAAAATGAAATGATAGGAAGTCTTGATTTTTGAGAAATTGATCAAAATGAAGTGAGTTTATGATTAAAAAAAGAACAAATATCTGCCAATGGACTGAAAAAAAATTATTTTGGAAAAAAGGTTGCTTTAAGCATAAACTCATATAATTTTGTTATATTTTTGAGTAATTTAATGTATCTTGATGTTTAAATATTTATAACTAAAAACAAATACTGAGGAAGATATTTTATATTTTTATTTGCAATGCATGGCATTAAATGTGCATTTTGAAATACTGGCTTATATTTCAAGAAGAGAACATAGCACAACCTCACGTTTTAACACATTTTTAGAAAGAAAGGCAAGTGCAAAAAAAAAATAAAATAAATTTTAATATCAATTTTGTTAATTTGCAAGTTATTTACTGTTTGCCATTGCATAATGACAACCTGTGATCTGGTATATAAAAGTGGAGCGAAATACCTATTGGTCTATATATTTTTTTTACTATATTTTTATTTATTTATTTTTTTAAATGTGGTTGCCAGGATGTTGCTAACGTGTTGTTACACACTGACATGCGGTTGCTATGATGTTGTGGGTGGACACCCTCACATTTCTATAATATTTACACAATCTACAATAATAATATAAACGAATGTAACTTACTTTGCTACTCCAGGAGACGGAGCTTGGGTATTACTCAACGAATTCTGGAAAAAATAAATAAATAAAACCTTAGTTAATACATCTTGTATATGTTATGATTTTGAAACATTTTGAGAAAAATTAACAACAACAACAATTAAATTTCACATCATAGTAATCTTTTCACAGACAAATACAACAAGGTTTTCATGTTTTCAGTAATTTTGTCATACTGGATTATTTCAGACCTACACTACCGTTAAAAAGTTTGGGGTCAGTAAGATTTTTTTTTAATGAAATTAATATTTTTAGATTTAGCAAGGACACATTAGATTGATCAAAAGACAGTAAAGTAATAGAAATGTTTCTTGAGCAGCAAATCAGCATATTAAGAATGATGTCTGAAGGATCATGTGACACTGAAGACTGGAGTAATGATGCTGAAAATACAGCTTTAGATCACAGACATAAATTACATTTTACAATAAAACATTTAAATTCAAACAGAAATCAGTTTAAATTGTAATCATATTTTTAAATATTTAATTAATATAATGATATTTAACAAAGCAAAACACAGCCTTGGTTCTTTCAAAAACATTAAAAAAAAATCATACAGACTCAAAACATTTAAACTGTAGTGTAGATCTGCAAATAGTTTGAGAAGAGGAACCTTGGGTTACACTCTATTTTAAGGTGTCCTTGTTACAGTGTAATTATACATTTAAGTACTGAGTAATATTAATTAACTACACGCACTTACTATATGGTTAGGGTTAGGATTAGGGTTTGGCTTAGGGTTACTTGCATGTAATTATGCATAATTTATTGTTATTATAATAGTAAGTACATGTAACATGTGTAACAAGGACACCTTTAAATAAAGTGTTACCGAACCTTGACATGCCAACCTTATAGTCGTAATATAAAAAACAGAAAATCCCGTTACCTTCAAGTGTTCAGTGAGCGTTTTAGAGTATTTCAGTGCACTTTCTTTGCGTAGCTTGAAGAGCCTCAAATACAGGAGCGCTTGGCACCTCAGGCTGCAGAGAGACACAGACGGATCCACTGATTAGATCTGCCACTGGTTACCAAACACTGGATCCACATTAACTTAGGTTTACTTTATTTTTTTACTTTATCTTTACTTTATAACTGGGATCAAACATTGGCAATACATTTGAAGGAATAGTCTGCCAAAAATGAATATTTTGTCATCATTTACTCACCCTCCACTTGTTCCAAACCTGTATGAGTTTCCTTGAAGATAAAAAGATAGTTTGAAGAATGTTGATAGCCAAACAGTTGATGGCAGCCATTGACTTCCTTAGTACAGAAAAAGTCAATGGGGACCGGAAACAGTCTGGTTACCAACATTCTGTAAAATATCTTCTTTTGTGTTCAACAGAACAAAGAAACTCACACAAGTGTACTAGGAGTAAATAATGACAGGATTCTAATTTTTGGGTGAACTATTCCTTTAACATCACTCTGTAGGAAATTTTAGATTATAAAGATTATGAAAGCATACATGCAAATAAACCATGAGTCAGTCTTCACGACGATTCAGTGCACTTTAATCGATTTAAAACACAACCCATTCGATTATTAGTTCACTGTGTCCACAATGAAGATGATTATCTCCTCATATTCTCCCTCGTTTTCATTTAGAGAGCAGTGGTTGGCCTTGCTGTGAATGAACATGGTTGACCTAAAAGTGCAGAACTGCTGCGTTTCTGCTACGTACCACAGCACCGCTAGCCTTTTGTCTGCAGAGGTTGCATCCGGCGCCAGGTAGCTCTTCAGCTTCATAGTGTACCTGCACAACACGCAAACACACACGTTTGTCAGCAAACTTTGAAAGCACAATGAAGAGAGACGCTGGAGGACATATTCTGGCAACTTACTTGATGAGTTCCACGGTTTCTGCGTACATGGGGAAGGGCGATTTGGCCTCCTGGGCACTTTTCTCCAGGGCGTTTCCACACTCGATGAAAGACACCACAGCATCCAGGTAGTACACGGCTTTCTCAAACCGGTCCATCTGTGGAAAGGACGACGCACATCAGAGCCAAAACTAACTCCACACTAAGCTCCATTCCACACGTTATGTTACGAAATGTGTGAGAATGCAAAGATGTGCTATAAAGGACAATCAATTGTCTTTTTTTATTCTCAGCTTTCATGCCTGCATTTACTTCTGACACATATTTTTGACATATGGGTCAAAGACGAGACGTCCCATTTTGGAGTCCCCATCAAATTTAATTTACATGCATAGAAAGCATATTAAAGGCAAGTAAAGCATCTACTTTTAATGCTTTAAACAACATGTCAAAAATATAGGTGAAATAATGTTCTGTCTTCATTCAGCGTAACAGATATATTTATGTGAAAGTGAAACAATTATACTGCCCAGTACTTATTAAAATATATGGTCACACTTTAGTTTGGGGACCAATTCTCACTATTAACTACCACTTTTGCCTCAAACTCCTAATCTTGCTGCTTATTAATTTTTAGTAAGTTATTTGTTAGTTTAGGTATGAGGTAGGATTAAGGGATCTAAAATATGCTCATGCAGAATAAGACATTAATATGCATTTTATAAGTAATATGCATGCTAATAAACAACTGTTAATAGTGAGAATTGAGTGTTACCTCGAATATATAAAAGAAAAAGTGATCATACTAAATGCTATTATATTTTAAATAATAAAAACATCTTGCTGAGTGGCAAATACTGGTAAAGAAGTAAATTACAGTTAATTAGTATTTTAGGGGCTGCACTGTGAGTCTTTTAATGTCATCGTATGACTCTCATTTTAAATAGGCCTGACAAGATTTTTTTAGTATATGAACTAGTGTTACACTGAATGACATCATAGTGGGTGTCTTCTGTAAACCATGATAAAAATGCATGATAGGCATTATTTTTTGCTCAGAAAAAAAAAAAAAATTAAGGTTGCATTAAATATTTTTTGATGCTTGATAACCCCTTTATAGAAAGAAACAGAACTGACCCATGTGCTTCGTGTGAGGAGAGCACCTGTTGTGTCGCTCTCAATGTAGAACTAAGACAAAAGGTCAGGGGTCACAGAAATATCATGCAGATTATCTGACACGCACGTCGAGAACCGTAGGCCAGTAAACAAACCCTCACCAGAGCATCTGCGTTGTGTTTCAGTTTCTTGGCTTCTTGAAGGTAATGATCAGCTGAATGAACCCTGCAATTCAGATGAAGGACTGGCTGTTACTTCACAAAAGAGTGTGACATCAAAAGTTCAAAAACTTCAACACCATGTCCAAAAATTAAGACGGAAGAGTTGAACAATGAAGTAATAAATAATGAAAATAATCACAGCCAATAACAATACATGATGCTGAAATGCCCCACTATGTGTAGCCAGATTTTAGACCAATGAGATTTCACCATGCACTGTAAAAATGTTGTAAACAAAACAAAGACTTTGAGTCGATTTCAAATGTTTAATTCAGTGTAGGGTTGTGACGGTGAGGAAATTTTCCCACCGGTTAATCGACGTGTGACAACACCGGTAATACCGGTATCACCGTTGGGGTGGGAGCGGGTGTTAGTTCGTTTGAGTTTCCCACTTTTCTTAGCTTTCAAATGGCTTGTAAAAGTGCCGCAATTCGGCGCCAAGCAATTGTTCGTTTGAGTTTTCCCTCTTTTCCTCGGATTTCTTGGCTTTAAAATAGCTTGGAAAAAGTGCTGTGCGCGTTTTACTTTCACTTTCAAATTAGCGGCAATTCGGTGTCGATTCAATTCAAGCAACAATGTCAAACTCATAACTTTTATTAACAAAACGAATAAAAATACACCATATATGCCAAATAAAATTACTTGGGCTACACAAAATTTAAATGTGTATATAAAACTGAAAATCAGCAAACACTGTGGAACAAAATAAATAAGAAACAGAACGTTTATTAGCAAAACGAATAAGAAAGCTTGGAGGCACGGCATACACACCTTGATGTAAAATAAAATACACAAAGTTTAAATAAAGTAATCAGCAAACACTGTGGAACCAAATAAGAAACGAATGTTAAAAAAAAAAACTTCCAGTCAATAGGTTTTTTAAAATCTAAAATACTGCCAAACAGACGCCTTTGCGTTTCCTTTCTAAACAATCTTCTGCCATCGTCTTGTCTGTCTCACCTCACTCTTGTCAGTCAGCTCGACTCACTCTCCTCACGTGATAAATAAAATCTGACTCCTGCTCTGTGGTGCACTGTCGTTCGCGCACGGTTCGGCACGCTGCATTGAGCGTTTAGTTTTTAAAAGTGTCTGTCCTCTAACTGAACTAGGCTAAATTATTTTTGTTTCTATAAAAAAATCAAAACGACGGTGCGGGGGCGGTGCCGCGGTAGGCAATTTACATAACCGTTGTTGCGGCTTAACACCGGTATAACCGAAAAACACAGTCTATCGCAGCAAGCCTAATTCAGTGTGTTTCTTATTTGAGAAATTTCTTAAGGAATATTTTTGGGTTTTTTCAAATTGGGTGTGACTTCTCAGTGTGACATGATGGAAAAAAAAGAAAAAGGTCTAGTAATAGACCATTAAATCGGATTAACATTAAAGCTTTTATCACAATCACACAGTGTAAAAGGATCTTAATTATTCAGACAAAAGATGAAAATCTCCATACCTGTCTTCAAACAGGAGTTTGGATCTAGATTTAGAGCCATCAGAGAGAGGCGGCACTGCAATAGGATTCTCTGTTTTAGAGCTTTTCTCCTGGAAATAAAAAAAAAAACATCTTAACAAATGTCTAAGGATTCTTAAATCAAGATACATTTATAATGACATAAGAAGTCTAGTTTTCTGAGAAACTGATCCAAGACGATCAAGAGTTTGTGATTGAAACAAGAACAAATATCTGCCGACTGGCTCAGAAAAATCTACGTAATTCAAATGGAAAACAAGTTTTCATTCCCCACTGGCAGATGTTTTAAGCTTAAACACTTTCATTTTGTTCAATTTTTCAAGACTTTACATTTGCACCTGAAGTAAATGTTTAGATGGAAAACAAAAATAATGAGGAAAATATTACTTTTTTGCAATGCTTGCAATATTTAATAACATGACTATGAATTTAAGACTTGCTGAAACCCTCGCTATGGCAAAACAAAGTCTAAAGAGTTAGAAAATACTAAGCAAAGGCATGTACATAGACACACACACAAATACAATGAAAAGGTGGCACATATGCATTTATGTAGAATGTAAAACTATGCACGTATTAAAAATATGAAATTTTCCTTGCTTTGAGGCTGACGGGACAGAACTGTCAGTTTAGTACTGCATTATTACATAAGTGTTGCAAAACCCTCCAGACACTCCATACGTCACTGTACATACACGTGTTGCGCAAAAGGCGGAGACTGTAAACACTGGCAGCATACAGAGGGCCACAAGCGCAAACACACCTTGGCATCCCTGCGTAAGGGCTTGTCGTCGCCTTTGCGGTGTTTGGAGTTGGAGCTGCTCTTGCTGCTGGGTACAGAGGCGGAGGACTGGCTGAGCGTCCGCTTGCGGCCCTGGTGCTCTGATTTGGGCGTCCGCTGCAGCGTGATGGAAGGAGAGGGCGCAGACTCCTTCTCTTTGTCCTGAGCACGCTTAGATGAGCTACAGAAAACATTTAACATGATTACCAAACAGCTCGGGACAATTATTTACACTGCTCTGAAGACTCTACTGATGTGAGAGGGTAATGGTCTGCTATTCAATTTAGTGCAATAGAAAATAGGCTTTCACTCTTTTCAAGACATTATTTTTTACATACATATTACATAAGCATATATATTTTTGTGGCCAGAAAGAATATGCCAATAACTAAAATATAGCACAACGTCATGCATTTTAATGCTTTTGTAGAACGAAAAGCCAGTGTTTAAAAAAAAAATACAAATAAATAAAAAGAAGTCAATGTCAATTCACAAGTTATTTGTGACCCTGGAGCACAAAAGCAGTCTTAAGTCGCTGGGGTATATTTGTAGCAATAGCCAACAATACATGGTTTACAATATATTCAAATTGAAAATAGATATTTAAATTGCAATAAAATCTCACAACAGCAAATGTAGCCTTAGTGAGCATAAGAGGCTTTAAAAAAAAAAAATTTTAATGACCCCAAACTGTTGAACAATAATGTGCGTTTACAATTAAACCAAGCATACAACCAAAACCCATGCTCAACATGCTTTAAGCGGCTGACCAATCACAACAGACTGGGTGATCGGAAGGTGGGCGTTTAACAAGATAGGATCTACAACAGAGCGTTTCTGGCAGAGGGTGAAAAGAAGTGCTGAAGCAGTGTCTTTAAATATACCCCAAAATAAAATCCCCACAAAACAGCTTCCACCAACCTTGTGCTTTCTCTTCCCCTTGCTGGCTGCCTTTTCTCCCGGCTGTTTCTGGAAGTCTTTCCCCTCGGGAGGGGAGCTCCTCTCCGCTTTCACCTCCGTTTCCTTGTAGACTCGACCAGGCACTCTGGACAGCAGACCGAGGTCGATCTGCACCACCAGTCTGGACAGCAGCCTCCCTTCTTGGTCACTCAGCGGGGAAAGCATGGGCGAGAACAGGACAGACGGGTTCTCGGCATACTGCTCTCTCGGCGTCTGCGAAGACGAGGGGACGCTTTCGTTTCCCTCCGAGTCCGACGATGACGAGTCGGATTCTATGAACTCGCGGGACTTGCTGGCCGTTTTCTTGCGTTTGTCTTGTGCCGGTCGAGGAGAGGAGGTTTTGGGCTCCTTCTTGATGTTGGGTTTGCGGGGGCCTTTGTTGGGCGCGCGGACTCTGTGTGGCGGGATCTCGGGCGAGGGTTCGGTCTCCACCTTGAGCCCACCCTTCGGCTCCTCAACCACTGGCGGCTTCTCTGGCTTTTTAGGCTGCTTCTTGCCCACCACCACTCGCCGCCCGCCCTGACTTCCCCCCTCACTCTGAGCAGGAGACTTCTGACTTCGCCTGTCTTGCCCCTTCTGGTTTGGCCGAAGGTCTCGCCCGCCAGAGGGCGTCACGTCTTTTGAACCCGGGCCACTGTAGATCCTGCTGGAGCCGGTTTCTCGCCCCTCTTTCTTATACTTTGTTGGCGTCGTGCTGCTGTTCTCCACCGGAGAAGCTGGGGACAACTTGTTGACTTTCTTGAACCAGTTGTCCAGCTGCCATTTGTTAGCCGTGGGCTGTTCCCGCTGTGATGTCAAACAGGGAAACTTGCACTGAGTGCGACATCAAACTCAGTTTAGCATAAAACCTAATTAGTATAACCTAATGGCCTAACAATGTTGAGGGAAATATACACTAGGGTTGTGACGGTGAGGAAATTTACCCACCGGTTAATCGACGTGTGACAACACCGATAATACCGGTATCACATGGGGACAGGGGCGTTTCCTCTTTTCCTCGCTATTAATTAGCTTGTAAAAGCGGCGTGTGCATTTTACTTTCATTTTCAAATAGCTGGAATTCGGCGTAAAACAATTGTTCGTTTGAATTTTCCCTCTTTTCTCGCTTTCCTTCGCTTTTAAATAGCTTAAAAGCACCGTGTGCATTTTACTTTCACTTTCAAATTAGCGGCAATTTGGCTTCAATTGCTTGAATGCAACAACAAAATACTACGTCAAACTCACTTTAGCCTATATATATATATATATATATATATATATATAAAACATGTAACTTTTATTAACAAAACGAATATAAATACACAATGCTATAGGGCAGGCTATGCCTAATATAAAATAACAAATAACTTACATAAAGTTTAAATAGGTAGCCTTTACAAAACTGGAAATAAGTAAAAATGTAAAATATATAACCAAATAAATAAGAAACGTAGAAAGTTTATTAGCAAAACGACTAAGAAAGCTTGGAGGCATGGCATACACCTTGATGTCAAATAAAATAAATAAATGACACAAAGTTTAAATAAAGTAAAATTCAGCAAATAACCAAATAAATAAGAAACGTAGAACGTTTATTAGCAAAACGATTAAGAAAGCTTGGAGGCACGGCATACACCTTGATGTCAAATAAAGTAAATAAATTACACAAAGTTGAAATAAAGTAAAAATCAGCAAACAATGTGGAACCAATTAAATAAGAAACGAATGTTTAAAAAAACTTCCAAAATCACCTTAGATAAACGGCAAAAGTCAACAGGCATTTCAAAATCCAAAATATTGCCAAACAGGTGCTTTTCATCTGACTCCTGCTCCTGATCTGGGATGTGACTGTTGTTCGGCACGTTCCATTGAGCAGTCGCGTTCAGTTTTTAATCGTAGTGTCTGTTCTCTAACTGAACTAAATGATTTTTATTACTATAAAAAAAATCTAAACGACGGTGGGGGTCAGTGCCGCGGTGGGCAAGTGACGTAACCGGTGTTGCGGCTTAACACTGGTATCACCGTCAGCACTGTCTATTGCGGCAAGCCTAATATACATGCATCATATTGTTAGGGTTGGGGATTGAGAACCGGTTCTATATTTCCAAGAACCGTAGATTCGATAAGACACACATTTCAATTCCGCTTAATGCGTGTGCATTTTAATGTGAACATTCAAGCGCAAGAGAACTCAATTCGGACACATCTAAACGGCACTCGTATAGTGTGCAAATAACGAATTGAGTTCTCTTTCGCATCGTCTTGTGCTTGAACTGACAAATATACACAAAATGACATTAAAATTAGTGATGTCAATTGATTAAAAAAAATTAATTGCACATTTTCATGTAATTAATCACAATTAATTGCATATTAATATGTTTATATTGTTATAATTTCACACTGAATCTCCGAATTAGTGTAGAAACAACAAAGATGGTATATTTTAAATATGTGACCCTGGAGCACAAAAGCAGTCTTAAGTCGCTGGGGTATATTTGTAGCAATAGCCAAAAATACATTGTATGGGTCAAAATTATTGATTTTTCTTTTATGCCAAAAATCATTAGGATATTAAGTAAAGATCATGTTCCATGAAGATATTTTGTACATTTCCTACTTTAAATATATTAAAATGTAATTTTTGATTAGTAATATGCATTGCTAAGAACTTCATTTGGACAACTTTAAAGGTGATTTTCTCAATATTTAGATTTTTTTGCACCCTCAGATTCCAGATATTCAAATAGTTGCATCTCGGCCAAATATTGTCCTATCCTAACAAACCATACATCAATGGAAAGCCTATTTATTCAGCTTTCAGATGATGTATAAATCTCAATTTCGAAAAATTGACCCTTATGACTGGTTTTGTGGTCCAGGGTCACATATGTATTTAATGCCATCTTTTTACTAAGTAGCCTATTATTAATGAAGACCAGTACCATTGATACCAATACTGCGACTGATGCCTAATATAGATTCATCTTTATTCAAGCTACAAAAGTGAATCAGCGAGCAGAGCAGTGACTAATTCTCTTTTCTTCTGTTCTCTGATTTCCATCAAAGACAGACTGCAGCAGGTTTCACTTTAAAAGCAGCGCTGTCTCTTTAAAACCTGACACACGTAACGCGGATCTGACACACTTCTGGTTTTCTCTCCTTACCCTTTACGGTCATTTAGGACTTTAACTCATTTAAGACAAGGTTTACGAGGTCACTCACCAAAAATGGGCATTTTGACACAATTTTGTGTGTTTTTGTCTGTGAAAGAGAACTCAGCGCTGCATTAATTGTGTTATATATTTTTAACGTTTTAAACTGAAAACAAAAAAAAAATTATCGCACAATTAACGTGTTAATTCTGACAGCCTTAGTTAAAATACACTTGTAAAAACAGTTGGTTTTGTCTTAAGTGAATGTAAACAGTTGAGAAAGATGACGCATATGCATCAGTGTATTGGATCTGTGCATTCGGTCTTAAAGTGACAGCAGTCAATCAAAGAACAAAAGTAAAGAAAAATCACTCACTGATCTTGACTGAATAACAATTTTTCTAACTTTAAAGATTAATCTACATTTTATTTATAACAAAAAACCTACAGTGTTATTTTAAATTTGATTTCAATTTCTGTATTGTATTATTTGTGCTACTGCTAATTCATTTATTGGTTCTTATTTTAGTTTTGTACTGACTGTCTACTTGTCTTTAATAATATTGACAATCTTTATTAGTTAGTCTAATTGTTTTTGCAGTGTTATTTTTGTTAAAACCATAAGCAAAAGTTCCTTTTTGCTGCTCATTTTTTATTCTGTAGGCTGCTGATTTTTGTTCATGCGATTCAGCTGCAAAAGAATGCATGCAAAAAGACACAGAATAAATATGTTTGATATCTAAATGTTTTACCCTATTGGAATCAAAACCGGTAAGAACTGGAACCGAAAAGCAGAATTGGAATGGCTAAAACGATCCTCAAACCTACATACTGTATTATAATCGAGCAATCCTGCTCTGCAGTAAATCAGCGCTTGACCTGACGAGTTGATCTACACGTGCGTGTGAAGGTTGTGTTTGTGCAGGCGATTCACCTCGGGTGACGCAGGACGAGGTGGCTCGTTGTTCTCACTGTCTGTAGAGCTGCTCTCGCTCTCGCTGTCTGAGCCGGAGCTACTCTCCGAACCGCTGTGACTGCTGGTGTCGTCTCGATCAGGAGCCTCGCTGTTATTACTGTTGTTACTGGGGTAGACATACAAATGAATTACCTTCTTGTTGGCTACATCTTTCCTCATGCATTCACTACAACTTTGCAAAGGCACAAATCCAAGTGAGATGATGACAAAACACACCTTGAGCAAGTGTATTTACCAAAAGCTTCCATAATGAGCAATGTGCATCTCTTTACCTGTCATTTACAAGATTTACGTAGGGCCGTTTGCACCAGCTGTGCGCAAGTTACAACTTACCCTAGTTTGGACATAAAGAGGCACTACGTTACAACATACACACTACTAAATGCACTACTAAACTTTGTATACTATGTATAAACTAAATATTTACTAAAGTCCATGAGCAGGAGGAATAAAATAGCAGATTGACTGAATTGCACCAATGAGCTCACGTTTTACTTCAATCTCTCGCATTTTAAGAAAACATTATGTGAAAAATTACTTTGTTAGTGGCTCTTCAACACAAACCCGATCTAAACAGCGCGCCTAAAATCAGTAATAATAAATTTCATTTCTGCTTTTTTTTTGTATCAGTATTTACTTATTGCTATTAATTTCAAATACAGTTTCTGAATGTTATTTACATCATTTAGGGCTGTAATAAAATGTGTACATTTTCTGATTAAAATAATTAACTGAATTCTTTTTTTAAAGACATGCAAGTGTACAGTAATTGCTAAAATAAGTAAAATTATTAATTATAAATAAATATTATAATAATATTACTTATTTATAAGGACCTATACTCACATAAAAATACTGATTGACGCAATTCAGGTTGTGCTGCTAATAGGAAAGGTAACTGTTCTTTTTTTTTAATTCTTTGTGCATTTAAACTGCTTTATGATCAACCTTTATGTGATGTTTGATTATGCGTTATGTTTGACGCATTTCAGGTTGAACTACTAAAAGGAAAATAAACTTTTTTTTGGTGCTAACTAACTAAAACCAAAGGTTTTAACAAGTAATTTTCTTATTTATTGCAAAAATGGATGTGCAAAATAAAATTACATCCCTATATTACTACATACACTATAAACAACACACTATATTAAAGGCATAGCTAAATGTGATATTTATTATAATGGATTTATGTGAAGATTGTTTACTTAAATACCTCACATAAATTAAGTTACAATATTCTTTTAATGTTCTGTAACAGTTTAGGCCTATTAAAATGTTAAAAATGATGGCACAACTTCAGTTTACACTCATTTTATCCCCAGTAATTGATTTTTAAAAAATTCATCCATCAGTAACAGAGGCATCAGTATTGGTGATACTTGCATTCATTTATAGTACTTAGTAAAAAGAAGCTATTATACAAACACATATATACTGCCATATACTGTTGATTCTACATTAAAAATTGTTATCATAATTATATTTTCACATTGAATCTCCTAATTAACGTTAGGTGAGATTAACCAGTCACAGGAAAATGTTTGATTAATTAGTTAATGTTTTAACTGACAGAACTAATAAAAATTGTTTAATTGTTTACAATGTTTTTTTAAGTGGAAATCAATGGAAGGCCATTTTTACCATTAGCTGCATGACGCAAAAGTTGTTAGAATCAAGGATAAACTGAAATTTACAGCATGTTAATATAACTTCTGCATGTGTTTGCTATTGGATCTTTGAGGGTAAACATCATATCTGACTATGCATTACTTTTTTTAGAGCTTATGACCTAATACCTACATTCTGCCTTAAGAACAAATGGTGCAACCAAATAAAAGTACAGTTACTTACAAACTAGCTAGTAGTTACTAAGTCTCTAGCATGGACTTTAACTGAAGTAAGAACTTACGAACGGCTGGTGCAAACCTACCTTAGAGATTGTAAAGTGTGTGGAGGCTTTTGCAAATTACTCAAGACAAGCTCAAGTAACGTCATAATCAAGAAACACGTTTCAAACTCCTTTTAAGTTTCTGACAGAAGCAAAGCGCATAGTGCAAGACACTGAAATACCTTACTACAGACTTTAATGTCCCAAAACTCACCAGCAATCAGTGGGATTCATTTTGACAGCACCAAAAAGAAATGGATTTCATTTCTTTCACACATGTATAACATCATAGCATATTTCAGATAAACTTGCCCCTAAATCCCACATTTCAAACTGTGTTTAGTTGCTTCACATGTTGGTCAGACTGTCCTTTCCTGTCTAAGCAGGCAGTTCTCGGCTGGAACAAAATGCATTATGGTCCAGAAAGTAGACCAGACAAAATTAGCAGTTCCTTAAATTAAGGCTAACCTAATTGTGCATGTTAAAATGTTTCATTGTTACCTTATGCCATGGAACCGAACAAATAAAGTACACCATCTCTCTGAATGCGAGTTGTGGTTTTGAGTGATGATAAACTTGAATGTCACCTTGTTGAGGTGTTTCGGGAGGGGTTTTTAGCAGGGTCTTGCTCTCCGTCACTGTCTTCGCTGCTGCTGAGCTTCAGATCTTCATGCAGCGTGCTGAAATGAGAGCAAGGCAAATTAGATCAGTTAAGGCCGACTGCAAAGGTGCAGCCGACGGTGCATTTATCTTGTAATATTCCTATATAGAAACGAGTACAATGAAAAGTATCATAATATATTGAGCTTCTAAAGCTTTTCATCTTGTTGAAATCGGCACATCTCAGTATCTCAAGCGTCTGTCAGGCTAGTTTTTTTTTTGGTGTGTTCCACACATTGGCAGCAGTTTGCAATGCGTTTCGTCTTCCCTCTGATGTTTTATAGCCAAATAGCATTTGCACCTTCATTCGAATGCATCTCCACTGGGATCAGACAGAGATCTCAGCCACACTTTACATATTACATGAGAGGCGAATTTTTATTTTTTCCAATTTTAACCGAAATTGTCTATATCAGCAGCTATCAATAGTCTATATTCGTCATTCGAAAGGAGAAACTGAAACATAGATATACGAGATATGAACAGATATACGAAACGTAAACAAAGAAGTGCTTTGAATATTTTGAATATCAGTTATGTTGATAACTTTCTTTATTTTAAGCAGCTCAAGTTGTTATGAAAATATTCACGTATTGGAACGCTCCGGTAAGATAACGTCACATTAGAACAGCCTTCTGTCTGTGCCGTCTTGACTTACTTGCTCGTTTTCATCACTTGTGCACTGACTCGTTCACTAAACTGAACATTCAATCAGAGTTCTCCCTCTCACCGATGGGCCCGACACAGATTTAACATGCTGAATGGGGCGAACTGCTGCCAACGTGTGGAACACACCAAAAAAACTAGCCCGACAGATGCTTGAGATACTCCTGAGATACTGAGATGTGCTGATTTCACCAAGATAAAAAGCTTTAAAAACTCAATATATTAGGATATACTTTTCATTTTACTCATTTCTATATAGGAATACCACAAGATAAATGCAATTTATCTACAGACAGAATCTAAGGCATGCTACTTCATATAAATCAATTAAATTTGTGTTTTTATTTATCTATTTAGTACTCAAGTTTGTAAAAACGCATTAAACATGTGCACTAATATACATTTACAATGAAAGTCAATTAGGGCTGAAATGATTAGTCGACATAATCGACAATAAAAAATTATCAACAAATATTTTTGTCGTCGAGTAGTCGTTTGATCTCATATGACCTAATGTAAGAGCCTGCAATAACACAGTTTGACCAGTGTGGCGCTGTAGTGCAAGACTGTAATTCAGCTCTCCTGGATGCAATTCAAGAGAAGACACAGTGCTTCAGTTCAGAGCAAATGCAGCCGAACCGGAGGCTGCTGAGCGGCGTTTGGATGAATATGTAAATATATACTGCGCACTTTCCTCTCAATAACAAAATAAACACATCAAAAACTGACAGCGGTGAGAAAGCAGCAGTTTAAAACGCATCTGATTACAGCGATGTGGATGTTTGCACGAGCTCTGCAGTTCAGTACTCCAGTAAAGTCCAGTCACGTCACGTTTATTTATATAGTACTTTATGCAATAGATAGCCTTAAACCAAGCAGCTTTACAGTATTAAACACGAAAAACCAGAGTCAGTGTTGCTTTCAGTTAGAATTACAACTTGATTTTCTGTTATAAAGCAGCTGTCGAGTGTGGAGCTAGCTAATGATAAAATCTTTTTATTAGTGGGGAAAAAACATTTAATTAAAGCTATAGTTTGGTTTGCAGATATCAAAGCTTGATCTAGGCTCAGGACTGTTTTGATTACCATAACACTATAAGGTATTTTAAGAGCGATTATGTTGTGAATAAAATATAGTTTATCCAAAAATAAAACGTCTTACCACTTACCTTTATTTAGTTTCTTATCCATATGACTTACAAAAAGATATTTTAGGCAGAATGATGTGTCATTCAGCTACTTTCTCATATAGCTAATTAAATGGTGAATAAGAGTTTCTCTGCCATCTCATTTTGTGTACCAAATATACTTATATAAATTAATTGTATAACTGTAATTACATATGACTTTCAAAAGCTGAAGTGATTACCTTAATTTATTTGTTAGAATATGTATAACTCAATATTTTAACTAATAGCAAAAGCTGAATAATCAATAAATGTCTACTGATTAATCAGCAAAATAATCGATGATTAGCTGATTAATCGGTCTAATACTCGTTAGATTAATCGAGTATCAAAATAATTGTTTGTTGCAGCCCTAAAGTCAACGGGACAACCATTGCACAATCAACAGCTTTTCCTATTGAGGGAGTCCAAACATAATTTTCTGTAGTAACTGACAGATGTTGTTCATAAAGCTTAACTTGCATTTTAATTGGAATATATCCTTAATATATAATACTAGGGGACAAAAGAACAGGAAAGGCTCAAGACATCTGCAGATCTAAAATAAATGCCTAATGCTTGACTGAACTCTTCAAATAGTTTAAAAAGAAAAAGCTCCAGGGCTTCTGACACAACAAGCAGATTTCAGTTTATCAGACAGTGACTCACTTCTGGTCGCTGTCGCTCGGCTTAGACGGGTGACTGGTGGACGCACTCTTTCCTGAGAGTTTTTCTAAGAAGGGAAAATAATCATCAGCGCACAAAATGCATCACTACAAAAGAGCGAAGAGCCGGTCTCATAAAATGATTTCTAGAACTTACTTTGTGCCCCAAAAGACAGGTGCTGGGCATCCTACAACAAAGATAACAGTTATACATTTATTACACATGACATTGTTGCACTGGTTTTAAAAGCTAAAACATTAGATATAAAAGTTCAAAATGATTCTGGACACTTTCTGAAACTATATCATCATTTGTTTGCTGAACGAACGAATGCAATGACATTCATAGACTTTGTGCACATTACGGGTCTAAATATGTTTTTGCGTGTTTTTAGTATTTATGCATGTGGGTATTATTTTCATTATTGTTGTCTGAATGACTGACTCATTGTTTCTATTATATCTTCCAAACATGATAAAAATGGACCGAGGCGAGTGTGCGGCAGGTGTCCTGCTGCTCTGTGAGCCTTTCATGTCTGACCTTGGAGGTGGAGAAGGGAAATTTTGATGGTTCTGTCTTGCAGGGCGTGTGAATGGCTGTTAGCGGAGGAGGCCAGACCTGAGTCATTTCCTGATGGAGAAACAAAAATGCAATCGAAAGAGCTTAAGCTCGTTTTGAACAATCTTTTCCTTCAATGCTTTGACAACTCAATGGAGGCCTCCTTTACACATGGCATTAACATGCGTTTCATGGCTGATGTTTTATAGCCGAATTGCATTTGCACCTTCATTCTGAGATCTCAGCGACACTTTACATATGTGACCCTGGACCACAAAACCAGTCATAAGGGTCAATTTTTCGAAATTGAGATTGATACATCATCTGAAAGCTGAATAAATAGGCTTTCCATTGATGTAGGATGATAGGACAATATTTGGCCGAGATACAACTATTTGAAAATCTGGAATCTGAGGGTGCAAAAAAATCAAAATACTGAGAAAATCGCCTTTAAAGTTCTTAGCAATGCATATTACTAATCAAACATTAAGTTTTGATGTATTTACAGTAGGAAATTTACAAAATATCTTCATGGAACATGATCTTTACTTAATATCCTTATGATTTTTGGCATAAAAGAAAAATCTATAATTTTGACCCATACAATGTATTGTTGGCTATTGCTACAAATATACCCCAGCGACTTAAGACTGCTTTTGTGCTCCAGGGTCACATATTACATGAGAGGCAGCGTTAACCAAAACATTTCCACATTAACACATTTTTATGAATTCTAAGTGCTTTCTGTCATTTCTTGCAGTTCCTTTCTTTACGAATCCCTTTTGAACAATGTTATTAAGGATTAGAAGGAAAATGTCAGAAAAGTGCCTTTCTTTGAGAAGAGTAATGAGAGAAACTAAAGAGACCATAAACTATGAGGCTAGCTTGACAAAGCCTGCTCTGATAGTTTCCCTGATAGCACACGTACATCACGGAGACGTCTATTTGATGTCTGCATTTACATCTGCAAGAGGTAGTTTTTAGAGTGTTTGCTCATCTGCAATATACGTCTATAGGACGTTTCCTCAGATGTCAAACAGACGTTTAGAAGATGTCTGTAAGATGTTTATGATTTAGAATGAATGTAAAACTGACATCTTAGAGACGTCTATCAGATGTTTGTACGCAGCAGATGCTTTCCAGATGAAGCGAGCTTTAACAGACATCTTACAGACGTACCTGTGCTATCTGGGTTAAGAGAGTTTTAAAACCTTGAAGTTTAAAGGTTTTCCTCAGACAGATAAAATCAGAAGAACTCAAAACTATTTCAGACCCTATTAGACCTCATCAGACCAATAAGAAACTGCATTAAACAAAGCCATCAGCAAGTTTTACCATGTTGGTAAGCATTGCTAAAATACTGTAGCATGTTGCTGGTATTTGTTAGCATGTTGTTAACATTTAGCTAAGGGTTTAGCAACCCCAACTCAAGCATGTTAACATGTTCGCATTTAACATGTTGCTAGGCACTGTTAACATGTTTTAACATTAAGTGCTGCTAACATGTTTACTAAGCTTTGTTCATCTGTTGTCAGCATATTCTAACATGTTTCTAGGCATTGTTAACATGCTAACATTAAGCTAAGTGTTGCTAGCATGTCCTCAGCATATTGTAACACGTTGCTAGGCATCTTTAACATGTAGTATGTTCTTAGCATTTAACATTGTTAACATGTTTTTAAGTGTTGCTAACATGTTTGCTTGGCTTTGCTAATCTGTTGTCAGCATATTTTAACGTTGTTAGCCATTGTTAATATTAAGCTAAGTGTTGTTAGCATGTTGCTAGACATTACACATTTAACACTGTAAACTGTTACTAGCATGTTGCTAGGCGTTGTTAGCATATTCTCAGCATATTTTAACATGCTGCTAAGCATTGTTTTGCAAGTTTTGCTAGCAAGTGTGAGTATAAAGTATAACAATTTCAATTTTTCAGTGAACTGTTCTTTCACTATTGACAGGTAATAAAATAGTTCTTACCTTTAAAATTTCATCAACACAGCTCGCATCTCCCACTGGACCCTGCAGGAACGAACGAAAGCATGCAGATCTTTGCTTACAGAATCATCAATCAAATATACAGGGTTGCTTCTGACCACAGGTCGAGTATAACTTAATCCGTTAAGTTGTCAAACCCTCGAGTAGAGCAATAATACATGCAACTTGCTAATGTTATTGTAAAGAGGTCATAACATTAATATATTAGTATAGTAATAGGTCATTATTGTTTTCCTAAAGGTGCATGCTAAATGGTGGCATAAAGCCAGTAAAGTTTTGCAGTTTTATGCTAGCTAGCCAAAACATTGCAACGAATCCCAAAGAAAATGGTCTAGTTTGATGTTTGAGTCATCAGGACAAACATTTGTATTCTGCTTTGTATAACTTACTTTTATGACTAAACAACTGCTGATTGCTTTTTTTCTTCCATGCTGTAAGTGTGTGATCCAACCGAATGGCCAGGAATTGAAAGGCCACAGTTATACAACTAACTCGCAGCGACACCTAGCATGTACACAAATAAATGCTTATAACTATGCTTATAATTATTTATGGACACATTCAGATTGACTTAAGACATGTCATAAAAACATGCATTTGTGCGACTTCTGTGTATTGTTATCAGAGGCACAAGAGTGCACAAGACTGCAATGTGGTCAATGATATGTCTTTTTTTTCCAGACCTATTAGTTTGTTCAAAAATCCTCTAGACATTTAGTGACTGACTGAGAATGCAAATCTCTGACAGTAGGTGGCGCTTATGTTACAGCAGAAATATAGCGGTTACCCATTACACAAAGCAGCGCTGCACTTATAAACACTACTTTACTCGGCATCATATGGAGGTGAGAAGAAAAATATGCAGTAACACTTTACTTTAAGCCTTTATATATAATTCTATTCATTCAGAAAGTATAATGCATCAAAAAACAGATGTTATGATGCATTTTATGGTTATAATTATTTATGAAAAGATATAACGCATTACAATGTTCATTATAAATACCGTCATATTACATTATACATAAAGGCTTTTAGTAAAGTGTCACCAAAAACACTTGGTAAGACTTTAGTTTAGAGACCAATTCTCACTATTAACTAGCTTCTTATTAGCATGCATATTACTAGCATTTTAGCTGTTTATTAGTACTTATAAAACACATATTAATGCCTTATTCTGCATGAGCATATTTTAGATCCCTTAATCCTTAAACCCCATACCTAAACTTAACAACCACCTTACTAACTATTATTAAGCAGCAAATTGGGAGTTTATCGAGGCAAAAGTCATAGTTAATAGTTAGTTAATACTACAAATTGGTCCCCAAACTAAAGTGCGACCAAAGACTTGTCTGAAGACAGTCAGTTCCTTTGAGATATAGATTAAAAACTCCAGGAATTTGTGTGAATCACATGAATAGCCTATTTCAATGTCAGAATGACAAATTTTGCAACAAGTTCGCAGGTACAAACTTTCGAAAAATGAAAGGAGAAATCCACTGTCGTTTACCTTTGAGCTCTGTTTTATCGCAGTATATCAAGGGAAATTGGATTCATTATGATGTGAATCCTTTTATCAATATTAGGGGAAAAAAGAAAGCACGCACGACTTACAGCGACTGGCTGCGTTGGGATCTTGAGCTTGGTGAGGGAAGCCTTGCCACTGGGCTTCATTTCTCCCACCGCACTGCTGTGTGATTGACCGCCGTACGACTCCGAGGAGGTCTTGGGCTCGGCCGTTTCCCGGTCGTCCATGGGTCGCACATAAGCGGTGGGTTTTTGGATCATGGAGCTGGGTTTGATGAGCGAGGGCGGGAAGCTCTGGCTGGGGTGCTGTCCACTGGAGAAGGAATGAACTCTTGAGGGCGAGTCCCAGTTGGCTTCTCTGTCCCTGGGCGACTTGTTGCGGCCGCGCGAGTGTCCGCCAGAGCTCATGGAGCCCTTGGCTGGGCTGGAGTGGGATTTGTGCTCGGAGCCGTGCTTGCTCGACTTCTTGCTGCTGCTGTAGTCTCGCTCGTGCCGTTGACCGCCGCTGCTGGAGCCGCTACGTTGACTGCTGCCGTGGCTGCCCTGCACGGACGAGCGCTTCTGCGAGGGGGCAGAAGTTGAGGAGGACGAGCAGGACGAGGAAGAGATGCCGCCGACAGGAGTCCATTTACTGTTCTGACTCTGGGTGCCTCCGCGCTGGTCACCGTACTGGCTGGATTTATCGTCCGAGGAGGAGCTGGAGGCTTTGGGAATGAGCTTGGACATTGGGGGTTCACCGATGGTCTCCTTCATCTCGTCGTAATTTCCCAGCATGCTCTGGATGCGACTTGAGAGTTTATCTTCCTTGCAGGACTGTTGGGAGAAAAGGACAAGGTGAGAAAGACTGGAGATGAGTACGAGAACAACAACTCAAACACATGGATTCAAGTTTGTGTGCGCCATTTTACAAACTTCAAAACGTGTCTATCACAGGGCTTCAGGCTGACTAAGGCCCCGATCAGACAGAACACGTTTTTCAGGTTTGAAAATGCGAGGCGCACCCACACTGCCTTTTTGAGGTTGACTTTTTTTAATTTAGAAAAGAACAGTGCACTGCATTTTTTTAATGTTGCTAGGCAACCACCGAATCAGCTGTCCTGTCAGTCTAATGAAGGATTATAGCGCAAGCACTCTAAACTCTTTGGTTTGCCGTTAAGTAAACCGTCATATTAGCAGAAACTTTAAGGCCCGCCTCTCCATTCATTCGACTGGACAATGGAAAAAAAAAACGTGAATGACTTCGGGCGCTTTTCTGCTCAGAGTTGATTTTTTTTTTCAACTTTAGGTGCTCCGAGCACTCCTACAAAAACACGAGGCGCACAAACAGCACACAAAATTCTCACTGCCAATAGAAAACAATTTTAAAAAGGCGCCTCTCACTGCAAAAAAAACGCGTTCTGTCTGATCAGAGCCTAAATGGTCACATTTTACAAACCTTTTTGCTGCTTAAAGTCAAACTGGTGCCACTACAAAGTTCGCCAGCCCTCTTTAATTTACTGTAGTAATACTAACTCCATTAACCTTGGTATTGTGGCAAGCATTATCATTATTAGCATTATTAGCAATTGCATTATCATATATCATTATATAGTTATTTTAGTGATGCACCGCAAATAAAAATTCTGGGCTGAAACTGGAAATTCAGGATGCACTTGGCCAAAAACCAAAAAGAAATATTATTTAATAATCAATTAATTTATCAACATTATTTAATCATTAACACTCAAATAAAGGCCAAGTTGTACAAACATTTAAATTGCACATAAGGCAGTATTTAATAACAGTGTTTCTACAATTTTCAATTTTCACAGATTTACTCATTAAATAATGAAGGTAACAGTTTAGGTAAAACTCTAATCAATATGCAATAGTGCATATATTTAGCAAAATGCTGCTTTATGGAGTTATTTTTTCTAGCCGACTATTGAGTTTATGGATTTTGAATGCCTGTCCCGCCGTAAATGTGACTTTACATGACATTATCGTTTATGAGCGGTTTCAATGACGTCTTTATACCGTTGAATCACTGATTGAGACAACATTTCAAACCAAAAATTGCTCATTCGGCCGCCAAAATTTTGGTGCATCATTGAATATTATTAAACTATGGCAGTTTCTGAATTGTATATTTTGTATTTAAAGTTTCTAAATGTTTTAGGCTACTGTTTTTATTATAAAACTCAGTTAAAGTTACATCTAACCACGGTAGTGAAAAATCATACATGGTTTAGTCTGTGCTTACCATGTTCTTATTACAAATACCACTGTTAAAACTATGGAAACTATTTAAATTACAATGGTAAATTTGTAGAATCAAAAGGTCTGTATCTAGCTTTAACTATTTTCTTTGTGTAAAAACAGTCCTTTACTAGTGGATATTTGTGTAAATATCCACTAAAACGTATATGATTTGAAACTTGAACAGAAAGTAAGACAAATTAGTCAAAAAGACATCTGTAAACAACTCATCAGCTGCTGGCAAAGTAATTTTCATCTGCACGTTACACTGTGCTTGCATAAATCTTCTAATGTAAGAGACAGGAACATGGCCACTGTGGACATTCCCCATTTGTTGTCTGATCCTTGCAACAATTAAACATGATTTAGAGACGATACTGAATCATATGACAAATAAGACACAAGGATTCAATATTCCCTGTCCTTTTTTATAACCTGATCTGTCCAGAATGTTTGAGTCAAGTGTACAGGAGCAGACCGTTATGTGAAGTATTTTTTGCACTACTGCCCTCAATGAGTTCATCCAGAATAAACAAGTAGCACATCGCGTCCCAGCCCGACCGGAGGACATGTCAAAGCAGGGGTTTTCCACTGTTAGTACACACCACTTCATCTTATCCCATTGGGAGTATGAAGGTAATAACGGGACTCTCTACCTGTCAGGTTGCATTTCTTGCATCCTATGACAGGTTCACCACCAAAGTAAAGCACTTACCGCTGTGCAAAGCTGGTTAGCGGCAAAGATTAGACTGAGAGAGACTGTAATCTTCTTTACTGTAACATATGTGACCATTATATATGTGTCCTTTTTCCACCCATTGCAGCTTTATATCAGCCCAGTTTGGAAAAACCCCCATGAATGTAGAGTTTTAGTCCATTGATAGTATTTCACATCCTGAAATACTATCTAAAATTTAAAAAAAAAAAAGAAATAGGTCAGGAGGAATGCGATTAAATTAAATTGGTTTTTGCAGCAACTGATGTTGGATCACCTCTATACTAAAAATAGACTCAAATTATTAATGACACATTTCCACTCCAAACTTCATCCAATAAACTTTACAGAAAGAGTAGCAGAACATGGTTTCAAAAAACTAAAACAATAAAAGTCCTTCTGTATGTCCCGCCCAGACTTCCTGTTTAGAAAGGAAATGTGTCAACACAGCAAAGACACTGTGCTTGTCAGGTAATTTCATGAGGTTTTTAAAATATTGAAGTTGGGTAAACATATCCAAAACAAAAATAGCTAAATTTCCACTTTTCAACAACAACAAAGTTGAACTATAGGGGTGGAAATTGTGATAAATGTAACAATTCAAACATTAAATTCAAAATTAACAAAGCTTCCTCAAAGTTCTGACAGGTTCTTGTATGTTGTTGAGTGCAACCAACAAGGACAACAAAATAAAAGTATTATCTTGATATTATTTCATGGAACACTATTTTCCTCTCTCTCATCACTTGAGATCATCTGATGTAAAATGATGTAATTCCTTTGACTACGGCACTGTAAAATACGTTTCTCAATGACCAGTTCTTATTGGGACTGTTCTTTCCTTCCTCACACCTGCAAACTAAACCACACAATGCTTATCCCTGTATAACTAGACATTTGCTGAGCACTTACCACACATTTACGACAAGAAGTTAACCCGCCACTAACTAGCAGATATTTTATATTAGCCAGACAGATTTATAATAAGCAACCATACTGCTGATGCATCTAACAATGCAAGTACTTACCTATAAAATGCCCTGTAATAACCGTTAGGGTTCAAATAGCAAATGAAACCCGTTTCGAGATTTTCAGCATTGATTGGAAACGGTTTCTAACGGTTTTCCTCCAAAACCTACCGCCAGCTGTCACTGGATAATGTTTAAATTTGGATGCATGTTTCAATTTAGCAATTACTTTGAAGCATCTTAGTTGCCATTCTGCATTTTATATAACGGCGGTATCTTATTACACTGGCCTTCCTCTACACGTTGAAATTTTGGATGTAAAATAGAACAAGTCATTTTATAATTTACAGTGAAATTTAGAGACGTAAATTCCCAGTGTGAAAGTTTTTTAGGGTTAGGGTTTTATGTTACATCTTACGTTGTTTAATTAATGTTTATTGCATTATTTTAGAGTTACCATGATGGTGTTTTGTATCATTTGTGTGCATGACACCATCCACTTTCTATATATACATTATTTGTATACATAAGGTGGTTGTCATTATATTATAAAAGCTAAAAAACATGTTTTAGTCATTTGGTATATCAACATTATTTAATTTAATGAAATGTTTTTTTACAGTAAATTTAAGTTTAATCTGTAATACTTCATTTTGCTACGGCATTTTTACAGCAAAGTTCTGGCAAGCACAGCTGCAGTTCTTACTGTAAATTTCACAGGGTTTTTTTGTAACCATTAAAACACCCAAATCTCTCAAGTTTCCATGACGCATACATTTTTCCAGTAATTATGTAATGACCAAAGTTGCTGTTTCACCACAGTGCATTGATCAAGTGTTTGTTTTTTGCTTTTTTGCTAAAGAGCCAGATTAATTGTGCATAGAAGCCAAAAAGGAACAACCCAAGATTAGATGGGGTCTACAGGGCAAAATAATAAATAAATAAAAGATAATAAACTGGGGGGGAAAAAAAGAAGAAACAAAATGAACTTACTTTATAAGGTTCAGGAAAGAGGGGAGAGTTAGCTGGAAAGGCCTCTCCTCCCTGCTGGATTTCTTGATTTCTCCTTTCCCTTTCTTTCATACGGAGCATATTCCGGTCTTCACGGTTCATGTTGCTAACAACAGAGACACTAAGAGTCACTAAGCAATGAAGAATTAGAGAAAAATAGCTTCCTGACACCTTGATCTACACCTTCATCTACCAAGATAAAGTTACATATTTGAACAACAAATGGAAACAAATGGACAGGATTACTGGAGACAAGCAGATGTGCTTTCCCTTCAGAAAACAAGACCCGGGCCATTTCTCAGAATAACAGACAACAGTCATGTAGCAGAACTCAAATGTTACAATTCAATTAGACACAGTTATTGGTAATACTGACTTTAATTCTGTCCATCTTTGTCTTACACTGCGTGCTTCGGCTAACCCAACATTATATTCATTATCTGCCCTGTGCGTCATTACTAATAACAGGACTCACTAAAGTAGTTACACATTCAGCCAATATTTAGCACAATGGATGAAACGATATTCTATAGCACACAGAAACCTTTAAAAAAGGTTGTTTCAAAAGTTAAGACATGAAAGACTGCTAACATTACAGGTTACGTGAGATATGTGGGGTGTGTTTGGTTAAACAAGGGTTGAGAATCAATGGTGCGAAGTGAAACTTCGTCAGTCTTTGAGGCATGTAGTTTAGTAATTAGCAAACATCTAGTCCACAAGTCATTCGAAAAGGCAGATTTTTACTTTAAAATAAGACAAAAAAAATAATCAGTTCAGAGCGTCATTCAAAACCACAACAGGTTGAAAACAACTCTTGTTGAAATGAATGAAGACGTCAGATGCAAAGCAATGAGGCTCCCGTGTTAGCTTCAGTAATTTCACTTGAAAAGGTTATGAGTCATTTATTGAATGCCTTGTTTTCAAAAATGCCCAATGTTATTTTCATAGGAGCCTGATAAAAATGCTAATTTAAAAGAAACATCTCAGACAGATTTAGAGGTTTTTTACATCTGAAGTCTTCATATGCAAATGTTGTACAGAGGCTTATCCTGAACTTTGTAGCTTAGGACTACACGGATAAGATAATATGCAGGTTTCCACTCATTTCTTAAGTAAAGGCATAGCAAACTGGCAATGAATTAATAATTATATTCACTGTATCTCCATGAAGCCATAACTACAGATTCATTTTGCCTATGGTTTCACAACAAAATTGAAAGGAGGACAAAATCAGGTAAGAGAAAGAACGAGTGTGACAAGAAAAATAGGAAAAGAGCAAAAAGAGAGCCAAAAACAAGAAAGAAAAAGGAAGGAAGAAAGAAGAGTCATGGGTAAATTAAAGGACACTTTAATCAAACTGTTTAAGAGTTAAAAAAAAAGTGTTATTACTGGGCAGTTAAATAAATCTCCTCGTTTGCTTTCAGAAGGAAAGCATGACTGATTAGATCAGCACTGTCACGTCGGGGGGAGGGAGTGTTTTCAGATGCAGTTTTAAGACGAGTCACTATTGATGCATTAGATCCTGTCAAGGTAACAGAGAGGTTTATTTTGTGAAGTTGATAGCCGTGTTGAGAAAGCGAAATGAATGTGCTAATAGGAGCGCATTTGCACGACAAAACCACTCAAATGACCAATGACACACACACTGCACTGCAACAAAATCCAATTAGTCAAACCATCTCTGACAAAGCATGAATTATCCTCGTTGATGAACCGGTGCATACACCTAAACCTTCTCTCCACACTGCTTATTAAAACAACCAACAGCTCAGGGCCCCACTCTGTCATAATGTACTCGCCTCCTTATTGTTTCAACCTGTATGGCTTTCTAGCTTAACCCGTGTAAGTGTAACGACGCAAGTTTCAGGATTTCAATTAATCAGACATGCAGTTTTTTTTATTCAACCTTAAAATAAAATCCAGACAAATAAAAACAGAAGATATGGAATTTGGGAAAAAATAAAACTCAGACAAGAGAAGCATACTTTGGGCTTGACGTTCATAGTTTTGCAAATACGAACTTTCCACATTACGATCTCTCATACGACATGCAAGAATCAAATTGTGTTCTGCAACACTCCAAATCTGGCCTGAAGCATGGTCACATGACACATTAAACTCAATCCTCTACAATGCATGTAAATCACTCACATATGCAACTACATTTCCACGATATGAGACTACATAATGTCTATCATTAGCCACTGGCTAATACATTGTTAGATTTCACTTGTCAGTGTTTCCGTTAGAGTGAAGGACAAGCAGAAGAAGGTTCCTTCAGTAGTGGGCGGAGCTAATCCACAAAACGCCAATCACTTTGGCTAAAGTCAGACCTTAGCATGTTTTATGTAGTTGTTAGCAGTAGAAACATAGTATTAACATATCCAAATTATTGTTATTTTGTTTTACTAAAACATTGAATGACCAACAATGTCTCAAGCACCACCACCAGACCTAAGTTCAGTTAATATGACAAATATTTAAAAAAAAAAAACATTTTCACAACATTTCAAACATTTAACACGTTTTGGTTCTAATTACTGAAGTTCTATCAGAAAATGCTTGCTTGATTTTTCTTGGTAAAAGTGTAGTTCTTCTTGCAGATCATATCACATATGAATGTATCATAGTAAAAAGCTGTGCCATTTTATGAAGATAAGCCAATTTGTGTGTGTGTGTGTGTGTGTGTGTGTGTGTGTATATAGGGGCAGTGCCTCCTCAAAAAATTGGATGAGAAAAACATTTGTACTACAAAAATAAAAATTCAAATATTACAAAATATATCATTAAAAAGTGTATAAATCACTAATTTTTCTAAAGTAATACTGTCCTACAGCGACACCAGCACGTCTCTCTCGCCTCCCCTGAGCCCACTGAGTTTTAACAGACCCACTAAAGCGTGCGGTGAGTTTGGTGGGGGGTAATTGAGAATGAATGAGGGAAAATCACGTTAAAGGAGGCAACGATACGATTGGATATAACTGATTATGATTAGCTATGATTGGTTAATGAGATAAATCCCGCCTCTTGTGTTCAAGCACATTCTGCATTCACAAATCAGTCTGAATTAACAATATAATGGTGTTCATTGGAAGACTAATTAAGAAATAAACAACTTACACACTTAGGTATATAATCACTGTGTTACATCAAAATAAGACTTGAAATCAGCTTGGTGAAATTTAAAGTAAATCTCTGTGTCTGTGACCAATATTTACCGAGCTTTGATGACTGATGATCCGAAAAATTCAAAAATAGTTAAAGTTAGCTATTAAAAAGAATAGCTGAACATAAGTTCATAAATAAAATCTATTGTTTAAATTGTTATGGCCTTGAGTTATTATTCTGACGGTAAAACTCTTAAAAACACTAATTTGATGAGTTTTGGCTTTAATAAATAGAATATGGATTACATTGTTAATGTAAAAATATAAAATAGAATTGTTTTTTAAAGAAGTCTAATGTTTGTTCATCAAGGCTGCATTTATTTGATCAAAAATACAGAAAACCGTAACATTGTGAAATTATTATAAATGATGGTTTTAATTTAATATACTTTAAAAACAATTTATTCCGGTGAAATCTGAATTTTCAGCATCATTACTCCAGTCTTCAGTGTCACATGATCCTTCAGAAATCATTCTAATATGCTGATTTATTATCAATGTTGGAAACAGTTGTGCTGCTTCATATTTTTTTGGAACCTGTGATACTTTTTGATGAAAAATTTTTTTTTTGGAAAAAGAACAGCAAAAGAAAGAAAAATATTAATAACCCCAAACTTTAGTGTATATTGTAACAAAAGAGTTCTATTTTAAATAAATAAAAGATTTCTATTTTAAATAAACAAAAAAAAAATTTACTAGCCAATAGCAATTCGATTGCCAAGGTGTGCATTGAGGGTTGATACTATACTAAAAATGAACTTTCAATTTTTGGGTGGCCTAACCTTGTAAGAAATGGCAAAACCTGGTTAAATCCACATTTGAGAGTGTTAGATACTGTTAGTGCGGCTCTCTTTCCGTCTGCAGGGCTTTAAATCCTATGATGCAAATGTCAAACTGAGGCCAGGGTGTTTATTCCAGTAGGTTGGTGATCATACGACAGTCAGCAAGTATTGCTGGGAAGTTTCTCATTTGACTGGAATGATTCGATTTCTAGAGAGTGGGCAAGAATTACTTTTACGTTTTGATCTGGTCAGAGCATTAAATGAGTGTGTAGGTATAGACGTCTTACATTTTTCACAATGATTTCTACACATGCTCTACCCTGAAAAGCATTTTTTTGTGCATGCTCACCCAAATCATTTTGATATCTACATATTCAAAGGTGCTTCAGACCGTAATATAATCCAGATTATGATCTGTCCGGCCTGTCTAGAATATTCTTTGGCAAAGCTGCTACAGTGCACTGCTCATTTCAAGACCAATTTAAAAGACAAGATTCAGTTTGGAATTAAAGTCTGTGAAATAAAACTAATTAAGAGACGAAAGCTATGTAAACTGTTACGAGGAGGCCTAAAACTTTGCCGTGACTACTACAGGAGTTACTCACTGAGAACATGGCTGGTGCTTACCCTGACTGAGAGGCCATGGCCTCAACCAATGAACCATTGGAAGAGGATTGAGAGAGAAAACTCCAGACAACTTGATGGTTCTTCTCAGCTATGGCTCCCTATCGTTTAGTAGCGTCCACTCCGGAGGCACAGTTTCTTGATCGGCAGCTTTCACACTTCAGTCTTCGCTGCTGTATTTCCTGGGAGTTGAGATAAACCTGACTCAGGGAGGGGAGGTTACAGTCTGTCTGTGGAACAAACCACTGCGCTGAACAGAGGAGACACCGGTACAACGTACAGGTCAGGACTAACTAAGGCATGAGGATCTATACCAAATCTACAAATCTTAGTAACCACTGGACCATCAAAATGAAAAAAAAAAAAAAAAAAAAAAAAACACCCCCAAAAAAAGGCATTAATCATATTATTCATAATAAAATAAATAACAAATAACAAAAGAAAAAAAAAAAAAGAGAGATTTACATTTTTACAAAATACATTTTTTTATTTTTTTTTATTTTACTTAACTTCGTTTCTTTAATAAACTTAATGATGTAATCATATATAGCCTTTTCCCCTAGAATAAAAGTGACGTGTGACGTGACATGTGGCCAAGTATGGTGACCCATACTCGGAATTAGTGCTCTGCATTTAACCCATCCTTGTCTTCGCTGCTGTATTTCCTGGGAGTTGAGATAAACCTGACTCAGGGAGGGGAGGTTACAGTCTGTCTGTGGAACAAACCACTGCGCTGAACAGAGGAGACACCGGTACAACGTACAGGTCAGGACTAACTAAGGCATGAGGATCTATACCAAATCTACAAATCTTAGTAACCACTGGACCATCAAAATGAAAAAAAAAAAAAAAAAAAGATAACACACCTCCAAAAAATAAAAAATAAAAAATAAAATGCTTGAAAGTTTCATATAGTGTACACTAATAACAAACTCATCCTTCTATATTTTATCAATATTACGTCCACATGAAGTAACAAGTTGCCTACATAAATCTTTTTGCTGAGAGCAAACACCCCTCCGAGTGCTGTGGAGAATGGTGCAGTCCACCAGCGCCCATATAAGGACATGTTATTTTATGCCACTCAGCCACTCCCCTCTGTGACATTAAGAGTCACAGCAGCCAATCAGCTGCTGTCTCTCAGTAAACACACTGCCCTCCCCCACTTGGGTCTGAGCCAACACCATCAGCATCAGTTTCCTTAAAGGGCCAGATGCAGTTTTTAGTAAACCCAGGTGGTGATGAGGCAATTAGATGCAATATGGGAATCACCAAAAACAATTGTGTCTCACCGGTCTGGGTCCAGCTGCATAAACATAGCCACTATGTTAAGACTGTGTCTTTAGTTTGACCAACTAGCAGTTAGCCAAGTCTTAATCAGTCTTACTTTACATATTACACCAGTCATGACCAGTCTTACCAGACTAACTTTTTAGTCAAAGCAGTTTATGCAACCGGCCCCTGGTAATAGCTTGCATTTTGATCTATTTCATCTCATCAAAATCCTACATCTTCTAGTGTATCTGAAGTCACGGTAAAACTTCAGTTTAGGGACCAATTCTCACTATTAACTAGCTAATTATTAGCATGCATATTGCTGGCATATTGGCTGTTTATTAGTACTTAAAGCACATATTAATGTCTTATTCTGCATGATCATATTTTAGATCCCTTAATCCTAAACTAACAACTACCTTACTAACTATTAATAAGCAGCAAATTAGGAGTTTATTGAGGCAAAATGTGTAGTTAACAGTTAATTATTAGTGAGAACTGGTCACAAAACTAAAATGTGACCAAAGTCACTATAACAAGTAAGTTCTAAAACATTCAACATTTGGGGCTGGGTAATATAGCTAATATATCTATATGTGTTTGCTCCGAGATGGATCATTGTCATTAAATAGATTAAAATGTTTAATGCAAGTAAAGTAAAAAACATGAACATAGGCTACTGGTATCTACAAACTTATTTTAATGCCAAACATTTTATTTTGAAAATGGCACTGACATCATGTCATCACACAGTGATTTGATAGGAACAAAGGTTTGTAAAAGTTCAACTGAAACCATTTAATTTTACATAGTGACTTGGTATAATGCTAGGGGGAAAAATATGATGCTAGGGGGAAAATTATGTGAACAAAAAGAGATACACTAAACCAAGTTGGTCGAAAGCTCACAACGCTTGCCCCGCCTCCGGGCTCTTCTGATTGGTCCACTGTTTTGGAACTGGCATTAATGAGCGGCGCTGCCTTTAAAAGTTTAAATTCTTTAACTTGACACGGCATCTTAAAAACGTGGCACTCATGTGTGAGACGCTGCAAAAAGACGTGAACGCAATAGTCTCACACGTAATGCAAAAAACGATGGAAAATTTGTGCAATGGAATGGAAAAACGTGTTCTGTGTGAACGGCCCCTTAGGATGGAGAATAATAATTTTAAAAAAGTATATCAACTTAAAAAAACATTTTTTTATATTGCTGGCAGCACCATAGTGAATATTGTATCCACCTTATTTTTCCCATAAGAGCGTGAAATTTTATGTGTCTGGTTTCCAGTGTCATTCGCTTCCAGCTATTTTTAGCTGTACAAAACGGCTCGTTTTGCTGCTTGATATTGCAAATTGGTGTGTCTTACCATATTATTTTAATGTATTATCTTAATTATGAACACACTGGTTTGTAGTGCAAACAGTTTTACCGTTTTCTGCACGTTGCTATTCTTCTCGTTATTTCCCTACAGCGGCTAATGAACCGGAAGTCTCGCCCATAGGCTTACTTCTGCGTTGAAGAATAAGGTGGATATATTTCTTATATCTTATTCATCACTTACAACTTAAAGTGCACATTTATGGCTGTTCGGTACATTTTCATAAGCTGAATCCAGTCATTTCAATAGGAATCCATGTGATCGGTAATTTCACATGAGGGTGAAAGACTTTCCTATGCAACTGGTGAACTGCTCATTACTAATCCAAGCTGACCAACAGAACGCTGCTGGGTTGGAAAAAGACATCACGCATTGCTACAATACTGAAAGAGGTAAATGGACCATTTTTGCTTGTCAATCTGAGCAAAACAAGATCCCTAAATGCTTTAATAAGGTAAATCAACACGCGTCAGGCTTCCAACATCTTCTCCAGTGAGGTAAACCAGATCCTTAAGCTTTTAAATTAGGACATGCATGGTTATGTAACATGCAAATAAAGTTAAGGATATAACCAAATTGTCTGTTTTTTTTGTTTGTTTCCTTTGTTAAAATGCAAAAATATTCTAGAAGTTGAGAACATTTTAGTTGTTGTAAAGCAATATTCCCTTACCACTGGGAAATATTCTGCCCCAATTTTATGAAAATTATCACCATGCTTGAAAGAAGTCTGTGCTTGTCTTAATTTATAAAGTTTATAAAGCATAGAGAGAAAATATAGCACTTATGTCAAATTGGACATTAATGTACTTCTATAGATAATACATTTTTAAGGCTGATTTTAAGACAATGCTATTTGTACTGCAATAACCTGACAGTAAACCACACACACACACACACACACACACACACACACACACACACACACACACACATGCATCTGTGCAATATTAACTTTTTTTAAAAAGCCCTTTGCACTCAACTGTAAAAAATTAACACCATTTTTCTGAAGGTACTGGCCCTTCCATATTGGTGTTAGGTGAACAGACTGCCAGGGATATCTTGACTTTATATGTGACGATATCGCTCAGGATTGTGTACTCAGGGCGTGTGCCAGAGTCACGCACACAAGCTACCAACCCAGAGCCTGGTGCATGTGCTGACTGCTTTACAGTCCGTGTTTCTGAAGTATGTTTAAGATGGGGAAAAATTGGGAAAACCTGGGGCAAAAAGGGCGGTGATTTTGTGAACGACTAATTTTCCAGAGCAAACAATCCAATTTTGATAGTAAACCATAACATGAAAAATCTGGGCAATATGTTGGTTAAAATGATATATAATGATAAATACAAATCCAATTTTCCAGTTTGAATTTGATGAGAGAGAAAACAATAACAGTGGAAAGCCTTCAATTGTGTTGTTCTGTCCTCATGTGCCACTCGCAAAAACCAACACAACGCCAGTTTAGTTGAACTAAAGAACGATGATTCATTTACATTAAAGGTTTGAATCAGCTTGACAAATCCTTCACAGAATAAATTTACTGAATCCACCTGAGCAGTCACAAAATCATCACCCTTTCAAGCATTTGTGTAGTGACGGCTCATAAACCTTTACTAGATATATTAATATTACTGACTGCTGGTGTGGAACTGACCCTTCACTAACCTTTGCGGTAAGGTTTACATACGTAGCCCACGTGTACTGCATCTGTAAAACAATGAGTTAATTACCGCAAGAAATGCAGAGTAATATCAGGATTAAAAATATAAATAAAATAGTATATAGTATAATAATCAGTTATAACAAAAAAATGAGTTTTTTTTATTTATATATATATATATATATATATATATATAGAGGCTCATTTTGTTTGTAAGTATATAAAGTAAGATCACTTATGGTTAAAATATGTTCTAATTGTATAATTTCTTGGTAAGCGATGATGAAGGGTAAATCTTTCAGGGCAAAATCTGATGTAAATAATGAAGAACATATTAATATTTCTTGGATTTAACACATTTGTGTACAAAGAAAGTGCTGCTGAATATTTTTCACTGGCTTTTCATAAACAATTTAGCCAAGTATGATGCACTGGATTCAGCTTGCAATTGCCATTACATATTAAAGGTATGCAGTTCTGTTTCGCTTTTGCATGTTTTCCTTTGCACTCCTGACACAAATTATTATATTACTATTGCCGGAGCATTTATAAAATCGTAGAACTGAGACCGAAGACTGTCGCTAAACCCTTAGATCCTTCAAAAGTTGCATAATTTGTTAACTTCAATAACATTTTTGCACAGTAGTGTGTATCGTAAACATAAGCAGAAGTAAACAAAATGATGTCAAACCTGAGGGCAGGTAAAATAGTTTAAACACCTATCAACTACAATTGGTCCATGATGATTTTTGGCTTTTTTTTTTATTATTGTTAAGTTATTCTGTTTGGCCGGTAAGTGTTGGGAACAGGACTTTTATTTTGACAGCACTGAGAACACTAACGTCTCGGCACAGTAGGGCTGTCAAAAAAAAATTCGAATTTCGAATATTCGTCGAATTTAAAATAAAAATCCACATTCGAATGCAAAAACGTAGCATTCGAATTTTAGGTG